AGTCTGAAAAATTAAAAGACATTAGAAAAAAATGTGAAAAATGCCATATGAGTTGTGTGTCAAATTAGTGCAGAGGTCTTACACTACTTGAAATTCAGAGGACACAATGCTCAGTCACATGCAGTAGAGGTCAAGAAAGGCTTCATAAAGAAGTGTGAATGAAGATGATAGCAAAAGAAAGGAGGTCATTGTGAGGAGCAGAAAGAAAGTGTGGATTTTGGAGTCAGGAGCTATTAAATTCAGGAGGTGTTGAATTCACTAATTGAAAACAGTAAAAGATGTGCTATACTATACTAATACAATAAAAACAAATACTATACTAATGTACTATAACTTTGGAAACATGGTTTACCAGAGGCTCCTGAGGTACTTGATAATTCTCGAAAGTTCTTGAGAAAGAATGAAATTTAAGGTACTAGAATAGCAAGCACTCACTTGTCTCCTTGAATTCCTTAATAATAAAAAAAGAATACAAATAATAAGGTCCCACTTTGCATTATGAAATGAAAACTATATATAAATATTGGGCTTGCTTTATTTAATACGAGTAGCACTCCTAACGAAATGAAAAATGAATGAACCTGAAAGTTTCAAGTTTTTAAGTGGTAGAAGCAAGTCTCTAGGAGCCAGTGATGGGAATTTGAGAATAATGATTTGCTGTTACTTCTCTGTCGTTGTCCAGGAAACAGACTGCTCTGACTGAGTGCCAGTGAACCAATCAGAAATAATCTAAAATTGAAAAAGAAATTTAGAGTATTATAACTTGATTATGAACAAACAATGAACATCTAAATTTGTTGCTTAATTTCTTTGTCTTGGCGGATTTCTAGTCCATAACAGGATCCTGAATTTAAAAGTGCATCATTTTTATTTTTAATATTTTTGTTTGAATCAAAGAACAGATAGCATTTAATTTCAAAACACTAACACTAGACTTTTTCAGTTTCAGAGTTTTCTTGAGTTCACCATCTTATTTTTATCCCTATACCCTGTCATGATGTCTGCCACACATTAATGTTGAATAAACAGTGACCTATTCTCCAGAAAGGTTTCACCTGGAAAATGCATTTTTTGATCATTTCCTTTGTTTGGGTTTTTGGTTTTTTGAGACAGAGTCTCACTATGTAGTTGAGACTGACCTGGAACTCATTATGAACTCCAGGGTGGTCTCGAACTCAGGGGCAATCCTCCTGCCTCAGCCTCCCAAGTGCTGGGATGGCAGGCGTGCACCACCATGCCCGGCTGATCATTTCCTTTGTAAATTGACTGATATCCTTGTATAAGTCTACATCCTACTTCTTGATACTCTTTTTTGTTTTATAGTAAATCAGTCTTCTGAAGTCTGCCCTTGGAACTAAACCTAGGTGTTAGTTTTTCCTGAAATAATCAGTAATCAGTTGATTTTTGTTATATTTAAATCTTCTGATGGTTGGCTTTGTGACTGGGCTGCTACATTTGTAACTCATATGGAGTCTGTCTAATTGTTTTTAGGAACTTCAAATTGCTGTCTTTCTCGTCAGTATGGGCTGTCACTTGGTGAACAGTGGCTCATTAATGAGAGAGATCTAAGTTTACATGGCTTCCTTTGATGGCCTTCAATTCTTCCATGTTTTACTCAACATCTGATTTGGTTTTGGTTTTGGTTTTTGGTAGGTACACATTTGAAAATGATTACATTCATTGCTAACATCTGATTTGAATAGGAGAGTATGGCACACCAAAAGAATTCTAAGAAAGTACTTCTCAGGTCTCCAACATGTATCACATATAAAAGAAAAAAACTAGGTGATTTTCATCAAGAAATATACCAAGTACTCCTAGTGTCTGGTTTGTTTTTAAGAATAAAGCTACTTTTCCCTTCCTTTCTTGTTTGATTTCATTCTAGGTGTACAGCTGTTTTGGTTGTCTCCATTTTAAATTTCTAGTAACATTTTAAATCACTGAATTCAGGAGGATCGTGCATTATAGAAAACAAGATTCTTATGAAACAAAAGGGTTAAGAGAGTATTGCATGAATATTAGCTAAAACTTCATTTACTGAAGGTTGTAGTAAAAGTATTATATATCAAATAAGCCTTTGTTCAAAGGCTTCATTATAAAATGTTACACTTAAACATTTGGGGGAATATATTATAATGCCTATAATAGAAAAAGAATTGATACCTTCTTAATGTTTATTTAAATATTCTATATGCCAGGAATGTATAAGCTTCTGTGCTGCTTTTTTTTTTCTTCTGTTATTTAGAGACACTTTCCTCAAGCTGCTTAATAAGTAGTAATTAAGATGCATTGTTTTTTGATGAGTGATTTTTTTTTTTTTGCTTGCTTGCTTGCTTGGAGTTGTTATAGAGAAAGCAATTACCTGAGTAGATTGTTCCCAAGTAATATTGAAATAAAGTCTTGCTTGTTGATAGGAAATGATAGTCTAAAGGATTTTGTCTTTTTGAGCTAATTGAGGTCAGTGTTAACAGCTACCAGATTGATACTATGTTAAGGAATTTCAGGTCTTCCCTGTGTTAGCATGTCATGATGGTTTCATGGTGATTTGTTCTGCAGTGAGAACAAATGTCTATATTCTTCCTACGTATTTGCCATCTCTGAGTCAAACCTTATACTTGAGAAGACTAAGACCCAAAGAAATTGTGCTAATGACTTTTTCGGTTGGTGGACAAAATACCCGACTCCTACAAATTAAATGAGGAAAGATTTAGTTTAGCTCAGAGTTTATAGAGGTTTCAGCTCATAGTTGGGTGTCTCCAAGGCAGAGTGATATGGCAGAGGGGCATCGCAAAAGAAAGTCTGTGGCAGGACAGGAAGGAGGCAGTAGCTTTCTTTCTGCTTTTCCTTTAATTCCATCCAGGCTAAAAGCCAATTGGTTGGTGCTGCCCATACCCAGGTTGGGTCTTCCCATCACCCAGGTTCAGAACCATGCTAACCCAATCAGTGAACTAATCCAGTTTATATTACATACCCCCAGCCACACATATGAGGATATGAGGCTCTGGGAAGATATTTAGATATGTCATAACAGGAATGAACTAACTTCCGTAGGCTCACACAGCTCAACCTCTGATGAAAAATCTTGGCTAATACTTTTTTTCTAGTGTGATTCTCACTGAAGCAAATAAAACTGCTTCTTTAGAGAATTTTTTTTGGGGGGAGTCTGTTTTTAAGACAGAATTTTGTTATGTAGTTCAAACTAGCCTTGAGCTCACCAAGTACCCTATAATGGCCTCAAACTTACAGTGATCCTCCTGCCTTAGCCTCCCAAGTGCTGAGATTACAGAGATGAGCCATCAGCTTTGTGTTGTTGTATAAAGGGACTCTAATGATGAAAATGTATAGCATCCTGAAATTAAGTATTATATACAGATTAGGATATATCAAAATGATGTGTACTAGTTATTATTTGGCCCATATGTTGTTTGAGTTGCCTGAGCTTGATTATATTTGAATGTTCGGGCACAGGCTTTGACTTCCCAAAGGGCAAGTGACCAAACTCTGCTGATCTTGGGAACTACTTTACTGAACAATTTTAAAATTAATTTTGCGTATTAGTAAAGTATAAGAAACATGGTTATACCCCTTGTAGGAATGATGCTATAAGTTCTTTGGAGGTGGGACTTACAACCTATTCTGTTTTAAAAACACATAATTTATTGTGCCTGCAGTTGACTTTTTGAAAAGTCAGGTATATTTTACATACAGAAAAACTGCTTTTTATTGTGAAATTTTATAAATGTAAAAAAAGTTATATAGCACTGCCATGCTCAAGATACAGAACGTTTGTTTCTTTTATCCCAAAGTGTTCCATTTGTTTCTTTGCCAGGGAACCACATCCTAAGAAGTCACATACATAGAGTCATATAGTATGTAGGCTTTTGAATCTGTCTTATTTGCCATAGCATGTTTATGAGATTTATCCATGTAGTTGCAGGTGCCTATGGTTAGTTCCTTTTAATTGCTGAGTATTGCTCCATTGAATAAGTGTTGCACAATTTCTTTACCTATTCATTAGCTGATAGACATTTGTATCATTTGCAGTTTGAGACTATTATGAATAAAGCTATCATACATGTTTATATATAGGTCTTAGAATAGTTCTTTTGGTCTTAAGTAAATACCTAGATGTGGACTTGCTTAGTTGTGTGGTATTTGTTTAACTTTTTTTAAAAAATGACAATATGTTTCTAGGTATGGAGTGCAGACTTATAAATGTCAGCACTCTAAGAAGCTGAAGGAGGATTCAGGCCCAGCCTGGGTGATTCAGCATCTTAGTGATAACCTGTCACAAAAATTTTCAAAAAGGACCAGGAATATAGCTCAGTACAGAGGCCCTAGGTTCAATCTTTAGTGTCGCAGGAACAAAAAAATTTTCCAACAGAATGTTACATTTAAAAGTCTTATTAGCAATGCGTGACAGTTCCTGTTGTTTCTCATCCTCATCAGCACTTGGCATTGTCAATTTTAACACTACTGCATTACCCTACTTTCCTAACAATGTTGAACATTCTTTCAGGTTCTTACATGCCATCTGAATATCTTCTTTGGTGAAGTATTTATTCAGACTTTTTGCCCCTTTCAAAGTGAAGTTATTTTGTTTACTGAGTTTCCATAGTTCTTTGTATCTTCTAGATCCACATTCTTTACTAGATACACATTTTACAGATATTTTCTTGTCTTTTTCTTGACAGTGTCTTCAAAAGAGCAGATATTTTAGTCAGCGCTTTTATATATTTACCTTTCTAGTTACAAAATTAATATAAGACGCTTATAGGAGGCTATTTAAATATCTTTCTTGTCTAATCCCACTGTATCTAAACATAGTAATCATCTTGTGATATATGTGTATACAATTTTTGCCTTAGAAATAAATTCTGGAAGTTTCTTTTGCATTTCAAAACTAAAATTTCTCTTCATATTTAAGAAAATATTAGATTTTTGAAAAGAATCCCCTGTTAAAAGTACTATAATTAACATGTTTTGCTCTTTTATTCTAGTGTTATCCAAGATAAATTCTGTGGGATCATAAATATCTCCGTGGAGGGCCTTCATGATGTCATGACAGAAGACCCTGAGACAGGAACGTATAAAGAGTAGGTGAATCATTCAGTTAATCATGTTTGCATTTAGGGGGTTTCCTAAAAACATGTTGCAAGTTATCATATAAACAACAGTATAAAAGGTTTGTAATTTTGTCTTTTATACAGAAATTTTTTATTCATTATTTTGTTTAAAATATTTAGTTTGATCATGAAATTAGCTTTATTATGTCACAGTGATATTCTGAATTGGGCTTCTTGTTTTATGGCTTAATATTAGGTGTTTAGAAATTCCAAGTGTATTTTAGACTTGAAACATAAATTCCTTCTTAAAGACTTTCCAAGTGTGTTCTTTTTTTCTGCTTACAACATTCACTTTCTCTTCAGGAAAGTTTGAGGGAAATGAAATGAGCAGCTTTGTATTTGCCTGGTTGAAACATCTCTAGTACCTTTAAGGTGTTGAGCAAAGGGTCCTATAATAACTCCAAAAAATAATAGTTAAATTTATGTTCTTTAGGAGAATAGTTAAAGTACTGTCAGAGATACTGATAACCTCATTTTTGTACTTATTTGAATTTTTAAAAAATTTATATTTTTGTGGTTAGTGTAATTGTCATACCTTTTCTCTTATTACTACTATCAGTAAAGGGCATGTTTCATATGTTAGGCCTAACATGACTGCTTCACTTCTCAGTAATAGTACTGAGAATGTTATCTTTGCTATTTTTTGGGGGCGAGGGTACCGGGGATTGAACTCGGGTCCTTGCGTTTGCAAGGCAGGCCACCGAACTGCTGAGCCAAATCCCTGGCCCTATCTTTGCTCTTTTGAAAAACTATAGCAAATGGAAAACATTGCCATTTGAATCATATTCTGTTGAAAAATACAGAAAACAGATATATGTTGAATCTTATTAAAAATGGATGGAAAATGTGTCTGACATGTCACTTAGCTTTTGGGAAAATAGGATTTCATATGAAGTGGAAATGTCAAACTTGTGACTACAAACCCAAAATAAAGCATGCATGTAGGTAATTTTTAAAGGTAGCATAAGAGTTTATGGCAAATGATTGTAAGTAGTATTTTTTTTACGTTATATGAAAATTTTTACAACTGTTAAAATATTTAGGATATATTAAGATTTTTTTTTGTCCTCTCTGGGCTATGTAATTAGTTGGGAAGAGTGTCATGACTGAGGATCCAGAGGTAGCACTAGTATGAGTGAAGGCAGTTATATATATTTTGTGCAGAGCAAACAATGGAGTAGAATTGGAGGTTGTGCTTTACTAAAATGTCAAACGAAAGGATGTATGTCTTAGAATCTTCAAGGAATAAGAAGAAAAGTTAGGATGTAGGGAGTAGAACACAATTTTAACATGTTTTAACTGGAAGAGATTAGAATGTAGAAGTTGGAATAAAGTTTAGACATTATCTACTGTCATAATGTTAGAAATAAGGATAACAAGTCTCAAAACAGTGCTGTAGTGCAACAAAATGTATGGAAAAAACAAGAAAGGCTCCTCAGTATGCCAAGTTTAACATAAAGAAAAAGTTTTGGTTTAGAAGGTGAAATATTCGAAGGAGAACAAAGTAAAAAAGCATAGCTCCAAGGGTTAGTGTCAATGGGTAGCCAGAACATAGGACCAATCACTGTCTCCTCTCTTCCTCAGTTATTTGGCAGTTGCTTTTTGACCTGGCATGGTGGAAAAACAAATTACTTTATCGATTCTCAGTTCCTAAGTATAGTTACTTTAGATGTTAGATAAATCTTACTAGTTTTTAACTCTATGCATTATATAGAATTCTATAAAATGTGGTCCATGGGACCATAGGACATAATTCAAAATTGAGAAAAGTTCACATGAGAAGCATAAAATATTTACTTATATAGTTGTTGGTTTCCAGTTTCTTCTTCTCTTTTTTTTTAAACAGTTCAAAAAAAGTTAGTCTTTCTGGTTCTGTTGAATTCTTATTGTAGTCTCAGTTGAGAATGAATTAGAAAAAAGGCAGAGCCCCACCCACACCTTGAAGGACAATTTGCCTTGCCCTATCTTCTGAGTCAAATGTTAGTTTCAAGAAACAGCCTTGGTGTAATGATGCTTGGTATCTCAGTCCAGTTGACACATAAATTAACCATCACACTATGAAAGCCTTGTAGACAGATCTCTTTATTCAGACATGTTTATACCAGACACTGCTGCATGAGGAAGCAGGTGAGGTGAGTCTTTGTCCTTAGGGCACTCACAGGGGAAGTATAGGGAGGGATCAAAACTAGCTACAGGTAAGGAAGGGGTCTAAAAACTGAGAATAATTTCTGAGGTTATGCAGTGGATTGGCACCACTTAATTAAGTAACCTGCGTGATATACCAAAATTTTGGACTATTTTCTGTAGTTAATGGAGGTCTACTGCTGATTTTAAAGAATGGAAGCAAAATGATTAAGGATTCACTTTGGCACATTGTGAACAACTACAAGAGCTGTAGATGCTTATGAGTGGTTCCATAACAGTAGAAGAACCTAGGATGCTTCCTAAAAATGCAGATTTCCCCCTTCCAGGACCAGATTAATTACATCAGAATCTTTGGATGTAGGACCACAGGATCATCATTGCACACAGGAACCTTGATGATTCATATGACTTGTAAAATTGCAAATCATTGCCCTGGAGGAGGGGAAATCATTTACATAATTTAGGTGAGTTGAATTTGAGATAAAGTTTGGAGACAGGATTAGTCAGTGTTGGTGATAAGAATGTGTGGCTAGCAAGCATTGAGGAGTATTTGTCCTTTGAGTGACATATCTACATAGATACATAATTTTTTTAAAATGATGCTATATTCAACAGCCTGTGCTTGTTTTTGCACTTTATTATATCTTCATAACACATTCACATAGGCATTTAAGATTTTTTTTGTTCTTGTTTTTCTTGAGACAGGATCTTCCTGTTACAGTTTAGGCTGCCTTGTACTCACTATGTAGCCCAGGCTGGCCTCAAACTGACAGTGACCCTCCTGCCTCAGGTTCCCAGAAGTGCTGGGATTTCAGGTGTGCACCACTACACCCAACATGCATTTTAAATAGAATGTTTTGTATGGTGAAAAAAATGGGAATGAATTATACCAACAGTCATTTTTTTATTTTACTTACCAGTAAGGAGAAGTTTATATTCCCAGATAAATGAGACCCAACCCTGGGAAGTTATTAATCTTGCTATTATTTCTAAGAGTGGTATAGAGAACGAATTTCTTTAGAAGAAAGAGGAGTTTTAGTTTGAGAGTTTATAAATCTGGGTTTTATTAATTTGGTTTTTTTGTTATTGTTGTTTTTTAGTTAGTAGAGTGCTTATGTCATTTGCCAGGGAAATGTATTGGTGTTGCTAAAATTTGTTTTTTCTTCTGCCTGACTGGTTATGATACTTTCCTTTTCTTTTGCTGTATGATATTTTATTGTCAGGAACATTGGAAAATGAAATTGATAACCACTTGCCAAATTTTGGGAAGTAAAAAGGAAGAAATAATTTAGCCAGTGTTTTAGGAACCCTGTGGACAATAAAATTTGTTAGAAAGGACTCATAAACTGATTTTTATAGCTACAGAGTATAAAACTTACCATCTATAAATTAGGTAGTCTTATTTGAAACAGATGTAAAATTTAGGAATTTATAATGAATTTTCATCCTCCATTTGATATTGATCCACCAGATGGCTCTTCATAATGGAAAAGAATACTAAATGAAACCTCATTTTTTGAGCCTGATGTTATCAACTCTGCGTTATCCTACTGTAGGTCCTAGTCCTTGGGGTTCTCTCTTTAATCTCTTATCCACGTTCTTCAACTTAAAACCCCAGTTTCTTACAGTCTAAGGTTGATGCCCCTTATTCTATTCTGGCTCTCAGTTTACATCTGTTCTTCCTTTTACTGCTTCATATTGTTCATAATTTTCCAAACGTTTATATGGTGGCTTGACTAGCAATAATTTTTCTTCTTTGTGTGTCCTACTCTCACCTTTGCCCTACTGGATAAATATCTACCTCTAAAATGGCTTTGTAGACTTCAAGAATTTATTACATCTTTTTCTGCTCCTCTGTTTCACTTTTTCTGCATGACTAATATACAATACAGTTAATTGTTTCTATTTAGACCATAAGAGGATTTGAGACAGTGCATAAGAAAAGCTTGTACTGGGAGCATTATTAACTTAGGATTGAAGGAATATAAATAAGAAATCTTGGCTGAGGAAGCCTGTGTCCTCTGGATAGCAAACTTAACTGTGACCTATTTAACTTCCAGTGCAAAGAGAAACATTAGGAATTATGTGGTTCTTATTTTCAAATAGAAGGAAATAGGTTTATCAGGAAAGGAAGATTGTTTCTTGGCTTGGGTCTAGAGATGAATTTTTTTATAAGGCATTTATTTATATAAAGGACTGTAAAAGACTTCAATAAAGAATTAGTTGTCTCTGATGACCACACAACTGCAGCCGATAAGTAGCTCCAGGATTAGGTAATTGTTGCCTTACTAATGTAAAAATCCAGCCCTCCCCTCACTCCCCTATTAATCTCTTTTGCAGGCTGCCTTCTCTCATTCTCACAAAGTAGTTCTCAGCATTATGTTCATGACAATGCCAGGGGCAGACATGTATCTTTTTTTTTTTTGAAGATAGAGGTAAACCTTTTCTACAACATCAGACTTCCCCTTGCATTTAATTAACCATTCTTTAAATGTTCTCCTGCTTGGAGCAGCCATTGATGAGGAGTAAGATGACCATGATAGTTTGAGTGCTGGCACTGGCCCTGGGATCATTCTTTCCTGGAGGACATGGTGACATCGAAGGAAAGAATAACTGGACAGATTCAGGGTTCTGTTAAAGAGGATGATTATGTGTCTACTAGAAAGACCAACTGAATAATGTTAGTGTAATTTAGATGAAGTAATCTATGAATGGTTTCTTGTATCGATCTACATGAAAACAAATTACATAGCATTAAAAAAAATTATTGTTTTATTTTGTGTTGTTTTTTGGGGACCAGGGTTTGAACTCAGGACCTTGCACTTGTGAGGAGGTGGCAGAACCACTGAGCTAAATCCCAGGTCCAAAAAAAAAAAAAATTATTGTTGAAATCAGTTTCATGGTGGCCAGAGAATTACAAATAGGAAATGCTTTTCATGATTTGGCCTAATATAGGACTGGTTAACAAAGTGTTTGTGGTCCCTCCCCCAACATTTGTTGTCATCAACATTATGGAGGAAATGATGAGTAAGCACGACAGAGGAAATTGGGAGAACTGCACGTTCTGGGGCTCCACCCACACCTGCCGAGTCAGAACCTCTGGAGGTGGAACCCAGCAATCTGCACTTTAACCAAGCCCTCCAGGTGATTCAGATGCAAGCTGAATATAAAATGGACTAAGATGCATCATATGTTATAACATACAGCATATGTTAGTCATTCCCATTTTAAACTGGAGTTGTTACTGTTGTATTAGTACTATTACACTCACAGTTCACACATTTTAGCTTATTAGAAATGCATTCATTCTCATGTGCCTTTTAAGTAAAATATGATTGTCTATTTTTAAGCTTTTTGACAAAGTGAATTTAGACTTTTAATTGGAGATTTTCCTACAGGAGAATTTCAAAAAATATATATATTTTTTTTCATTATATTTCATTATATTTTAATATATATATTTTTTTTTTCATTTTCCTGAAACCCAAGTGAATGCACCTTGCAGAATTGCATATAGTCCGTCTTTATGTAATTTTCAGAAAGCGCAAGAGACAGGTAAAAGACAACCAGAGGGAAAGGAGGGAGATAGAAAAGAGAGAGATGGGGTGGAGGAAAAGGAAGGGAAGGAGGGAGGGAGGGAGGGGGAAAGAAAAGAAAGGAAAGGAAAGGTAAAGGAGAAAGAAAGCAAGAGTTAGGAATTGTCTTTTATCTGTACTTGCTACAAAACAGGAGAAACTAAACTTTTTTGGTCACAGTTTATTGGTTAAGAAACTGGTGATTTTCTCATTCTAAAAAGACAAAAGAAAGGAAGGGGAAGGAAAGAAAAGAGGGAAAGAGAGAAGGAACGTGTGTGTTCATCTCCAAGATATGCTCTGTTATTAATGTGATGAATCTTTTAACATAGGGAAGGCAGAACACTTTTCTGTAAAAATAAGTTAATGTAATACAATGGAATGATTACATGCAAAATAAAGTTTGCTCCTATTGAGATCCATATTGCAGTTAGAATTTGAGTCTGTGTGGCTTCAATAAAGGAGCCTCGTTTTATTTTTTATTTCTAAAATAACTGAAATCTAGACTTTTCTAAGACATTTCACTTTGTAAAATAGTTTTAGAATTGATATAATCATATTGTATTTTTCTCACTTTGAGCTGAAGTTCATTGATAAAGCAATGTGCTGTGCTTGCATTGTATATCTCAGTGGATGGAACTTTGCAATTCTTAGAGATCAAGGCTGTGCAGTGAGTTAGGCATTGAACTCATAGGACTTCTGATTTCCAACCTAAAGTTCTTACATTTGATCACACCAATTTGTAATGAATTGGAGTCACAAACAGTTGCCACCTCCACACCCCTGCTGTCTACATTGACTTTAATCCTGAGGAATAGGGATGAAAGACATCCATGTTTGCTGTGCGAGTAAGCCTGATCAAGTTTATCCACACCTGTCCTTAACCTTAAATTCAGTTATTTACACTGCTGAATTAGGAATTGTCTTTTATCTGTACTTGCTACAAAACGTAGGGAAACTAAACTTTCTTGGTCACAGTTTATTGGTTAAGAAACTGACTCTGGTGATTTTCTCATTGTAAATGAGGAAACAGTTTGCTCCATCAGTGAGACTTCACTAGACAGTATTTATTTCTTATCTCCTTGGATCCAGAGGTGACTGAATAGGAAACTGTGTTTCTCTTATCTCTGTTAGTGTCAAAGAGCAGTGGTGCAGCTAAGCAAAATAAAATGATTTATAACTGTCCAGTGCCATCAGGGACAAGTTCCTCATAGCAGCACAGTAATATCCTTTGGAGTACAAAGATTATTACGTAGTTAGTAGTGTTTTAATGATGTTACTATTTAAATTGCTGCATTTATAATTTGTAGACATGTGAAGATTAAGGGAGAAAGTATTTTTAAGTATTCATGCAATTTTTTTAAAAAACCAAGTGTACACATTACATTGTCAATTGATATTTGGTTAAAGACTGTAAATAGGCAGGCATGGTGGTGCATGCCTGTAATCCCAGCACTCGGGAGCCTGAGACAGGAGGATCACTATGAGTTCAAGACCAGCCTGGGCTACATAGTGAGTTCCAGGTCAGTCTCAACTACATAGTGAGATCCTGTCTCAAAAACAAAACAAGATTGTATATAAAATTTTTAGAATTTACTGATGTAAATGCCCAAGTAAAAAGGCAAAGAATTTTTTATTTAGTCCCTTCAAAGGTAAGGTAGAATAATTATTGATCATTATTATATTATTAATATTGATCATCAAATATGTAATCATAATTTTAAAAACATTAATCTATTCTCCACTTTAGTATATAGAAGCATTCATGGTCTGAGTGACTTTGAGAGTTTGTTTTTAGTATATTGTAGATAATTTTTATTTATTTAAAATATGTTTTTTGAAAATTGTAGCTGTATGTTGATGTCTCATCTTGAGGAACCAAAAATAACAGAAGATGAAGAACCACCAACAGAACAAGATAAGAGGAAAAAGATGGTGAGTTACAAAGGTTTTGGAATTAAGAACAACTATACATCTTCATTATTATTGTCTGTATGTTTGAAGATATCTGTTGGTCTGTTAATCCATCCGTTTGTCTATCCATCTATCCCTTGTCATAGAGTTAATATAAGGTGTCTATTATCAGTCACGTTTCCTGTTGCTGGAACAAATTACTTAACACCACAGCATGAAGAAGGGGTCTGTTTGTCTCACAGTTTCAGAAGACTCATTACGTAGTTAACTGGCTCCTCGGCAGGATCATTGTGATGAAAAGTGCATGACACAGTTTATGACATAGTTCATGAAAGCCAGGAAGCAAACTGGGAAGGGACCAGGGATCATATATAGCACCCAAAGTCATACCTACATGACACACTCAGACATACTCATAAGTGTGCTTTGCTAATTCCATACGTGGCTCCCAAGCCAATTAATATAAACATAGTATCTGAGTTTTAAAATTTAGAGTGTACTCTAAAATATCTAATTTATGCTCCTAGTAGGGGAAGTTGATCTGAAATAATTACTGCTTTTCTTAGGTTTTCTTTTATTTGTTGATACTGGGGATCAAACTTGGGCCCTTGCCCTTGTGAGGCAGGCTGCAGAACCACTGAGCTAAATTCCCAGCCCGGTTTTATTTTTTCTTATAAAATACATGTGACCCTAAAACTAAGTTAACATACTTATTTTTCTGCTTGCTTGCTTTCCCTTTTTTTTTTTTTTGGTACCAAGGATTGAATTCAGGACTTTGAGCTTGTGAGGCAGGTGTGGTTCCTCTGAGTCAAACCCCCAGCCCATAAAATACTTAATTTTCTGTTTTAAAGAGCTGTGTTGAAACTGTTTTCATTGTCTATTGTTTTATGGATCCTCACATTGAATTTTTTCTGATTTACAGCATAGGACATTATAAAAATGCTTTTAAGTCAACTGTTAAATTATTTTTAGGACCAGTAATTCTCCATCGAATAACATGATTTTAAAAGAAGAAAAGAATAGGAAATATCTAAAACATCTTGCTTTAAAAGTTACTTAATCTTAAAAGGCAACATCTATATATTTATTTTGACCATAAATATAAAATAGGCACATAATAAACTCCCTTTCTTTTGGAATCCTTTCTAGTCTCTTGGTCTTACCACTTACTGTGTTTATTCTGTCTTTTCTCATTTGCAAAATAAAAACAGCAATAATAGCTACCTCGTAGATAGACTATATAAATGCATATATAATATGGTTTTGAAATAATCCTGGACATCTAATAATTAATCTCTGCTTTCATCATTCTTTTTGTTTAATCATTATTTTCAGTCTTTGAATTACCCCATGTTTAACTTAACCCTAAAGGCTTCATCCTCAAAGTATGGTTAATACTGCATCACTCTGTGACAGCCTTCTTTTAAACTGTGTTTGATTTTTAACTCATTTTATTTTTCTATTAAGCTAGCTTCTATAGAAGAAAAGACAATATCCAATAATTCCTAAGACCAGAATTCTAGTCCTGTTTGTGCTATTATATGTGACCTTGAGCGAGACATCTTTCCAGAACTATTTTGCCTCATGTAAAATCAAGGGGAAATTTTTATTAGGGCTTTTGAGCTAAAAAATTATTTGGTTTAAAATCTTATTACCATTTTATATCTCTGACCAGCATCTTCCCTATTACTGCTAAGAAAATATTATCAAGAAAGCATATAGCAAATTATGTTAATGAAGTATTTCTGATCTTGACAACTTGATCTTCATAAGTTGTGTAAATAATCTAGTTTAACATATACATAATAGTTTAGCAATTGCAATATAAATAATTTTGAACATTATACTATACCACTCTTCAGTTGTGCTTCTTAGAGCAATAGTAAAATAATGCAGAAGGATCTGTCAGACATCATTTATATGCCTCTGAAATAATAATTATGACATTCTTCCAAAGCACTTTAAAATTTTATTAGTACATATTTACATTCATGTTAGGGACTAGGTTCATGTCCTTACCATATCTTGATTCTTTTTATTCCCCTTCTCCTTCCCACCTAACCACCTTTTTCCTCTATCTCTAGATCCCCTTTCCGCATTTTCATTATTGTTATTAATTTTTTAGTTTATTTTTGTGACATGTAATGATTATGTTTTTTGTGGGTAGTTGATACATTTGCATGACACAGCATAAATCTTATTATGTACCCTTTGCCCCTGATGATTCCCTCATCCTCCGTCTCTAGCTTGTCTTAAATTTTCAAAAGCTTTATCTTCCTGTTTCCTTTCGTCACTGTTTTGTTCTATTTTTGTAATTTGAATTACTCACATGTGAGGTACCATACAGTATTTAAGGTTATTAATAAATGGTAATTGATGGATTCTGACTCTTTTGTAAGCAACACAGTACTTTTAGTATTTAAATATTATTTTAAGTATTTTATGTATTTGTTGAGTGCTTTTTTTAATGCCAGATAATGCCTTTGAAATTTGAGATAGGAAGATGAACAAAAAAAGTCCCTATTATATAATGGAGCCTAAAGTTTATTACATACACACACATCCACAACCATGACAAATAGTTGTAAGTTTATGAATAATAAATGATAATTAAGTGTTTAAGTAATAAACTACTAGTTTTCTAATTTTGTAATATGTTCATAAAATTTGGAAGTTTTTTTCTACCAATATTTTTTCTTCATTTTAATAAACTGAAGTATGTTAGCTGAGTTTTTGTCCACTCTAAATTTACTGACTGTGAGTTTACTTTTTACACTTTTTATTTGCTGTTGTACATATTTGTAAGCCATCTGTTTCATTCAGTTGTTTTTCAACAGAGATACTATTTTAGGAGCTTTTAACAAATAATTTCCAAAATCATTTTTGTCTGCAATCGACTCATCTTTTAAACATACACATAGGAATATATCTTATCTTAATGTATTTAAAAAGAAAAATATAGTCTTTAGGCTATGTAGTCCATGAATATAAATGGCTCTTTTAGTATTATCATCTTAGAGGTAGATTAAAATGAAAAACAGTTGTTATATTATAAAGCAATAAAAATAAAATGTATGCATTATCATTTGAATGTTTTATACTTAATTTTGAGTTGCTGTTTGCTAAAGTAACTCTGCAGGTAGATTTTCACTGGTTTGTGATAAAGTCCTCAACTTTTGACAAACTCAAGTACATAGTGGGTAGCATGGGCAAGTGGTCTAATTTTATCTCTATACATGTTTTGGCTATTACTTGTCACGTATATATTGGTTGTCAGTTACATATGATGTATATTTTCACTAAATCTGATTAAGTCTCATTTTATTTAAAAATACGTGTAAAAGTTCACACCAACATTCTTTTATAAACAATTCTCAGCAAGACATGGTGGCACACACTTGTTATTCTAGCACTCTAGGAGACTGATGCAGGAGGACCAGAGTTTGAGCCTGGCCTAGGCAAATTAGTGAACTTAGTGAGACCCTGTCTCAAAGTAAAGGATTGGGGATGTAGCTCATTGCAAAGGCTTTGGTCTCAGTCTTTAGTAATGAAAAAGAGAAAGAGAAAAAAAAAAGTACTTCTCTGTTCTTAGTCAAGTATCAGAGAATCCTACCTGCTATAGTTTACTACTTCTCTTGACCTTAGTCCAGTGGCATCCAAGTAATATCTTCAAAATAAATCAGTTTTCTTTTCTATACATTCCATATACATTCTTAAACACCATGTGCAAAGCATTGATTTTTTTTTTTTTTTTTTTTTTTTTTTTTTTTGT